CCCCAAAACCCCAAAACCCCAAAACCCCAAAACCCCTTGAGTCTTCATTTCTAATAAATTGAGGAAATTAGTATAATATCTAATTTAAATTTAAATGTAATTTCTCAGTTAATTCTTTCTAATTTCATGAATACCTAAGGTCTCTTGAACATGATTGCGTTAAAAAAAGGTTTCTAAATCTTTTGCTTATCATCGCATAATACGAATTTATAATTATTCATTAACAATGGAACTATAATCTTAAAAGCATTCTCTGCAAAAGTTTTGCCCAGACATATTCTCTTTCCCCCAAGGAATGGTACAAAAGAAAACTAATCCCTTTAAGTGCCGGCAGGTGTTAGATAGTATTAAGATTATGGATTAAATCTCTCTGGAATAAACTTTTCGTCATCAATCCATTGATCTTTGTTGTGATGTATCTGATAAATATTGATAATAAGCATATCATCTTGCTTAATATTAACTCCTGCTATTTACTAATCTTCTGTCAATTAAACTGATGATGATATAATCAAAGGAGGCTCTATTCTCAATGTCTCATTATAGCAGCATTTTAAGTACTCAAACTCCTCAATTTTTCTAAGATCTAATTCTTGCGCTAATTTTTGAATATCCATTCCGTAATTTTATAAAAGTTTTCCAAATTCCATTCTAATTTAATTTTCATGCTCTTGAGATTAAGCCATATAGCTTAAAAAATTAGAAATTGCAACGGCTATAGTTTAAGACCCAGCTATAAAGAAGGTAATACATTCATCAATTATCATCTGATCTGAATCTTGAAACACATCATCCTAGAGTAATACACTAAGCAGATCATCTCCCTCGTAATGACCTGTTTATGCAAAGTTAACTCTTTTAATCTAAATAATCTTTCTGATGTATTCAATTACCTATTCAGCATTATACTTAACTTCTTAATCAAGAATTGACAGGTAGTAAGGAAAGAGTTCTGGGAAGAATATTAGATATGGTTAGAACTCACGTTCTATAGCTCTCCCTAGATTTGTAGATAAAGCTTATCCCAACTATATCTATCTTATCTCACCTTTTTCTTTGTAATTAATAAGTGGATTTTCATTCTACCTACCAAAGGCACATGCTAGTATGATAGTCATCATCATATTTGATGTTTCTTATACTATATCGATTGTACCCTACTTGGCCCATTAGTCTTTAGTTTCCAAAACGATCTCTTTCATAATATCCAGCATAACAATCAGTTTTTGTTTATAAAGTGATGAAGAAATTACTTTACGTTTTTTTGCCCAGATCTGGTTAGACTTTTGAAATGCTATGCTATCTCCAGCTATTTTCTTCAGAATATTTCCTGACGAAGGATGCTTATCGAAAAATCTATTCTTAGATACAAAGAGTTCTCTTAAAGCTTCAGGTCTATTTACAAATAAACAAAGCCTCTGACTAAAAATAATCCCAGAAAACACTGGTGGTTTCTAATCAAAATAGGTTTGAATATATTCTATAAGAGGATGAAGCGTAGGATTGTTCTTTTTTTAGAACTTTATAAGCTCATAGTAATGACCAAGGAAAGGCAAGAATCCACTATGAAAAGGTACTCCTTGCTTCTCATAAAATCTCATTCTTAGTTTTATCTTTATGAATCTATTCCAAACAAAGTAGGAAATTATTATGAACAATAAGATCAGAAGCATAGACATCTTGTTTTTAAATGATTCAATTAAGGATGGAATGACCTTATTCAGATTATAAAATATAGATATCTTCCCTACAACAACCTATTCTCTCTTTTGGGGTTTTGGGGTTTTGGGGAGATCGGAAG